TAAGCATATGGAGCAGAGGTCCATCAGTGGCTATTAGCCACAAGGTATAGATAGGAACTCTCAGGCTGGGGCAGGTGATGCTCCGTATTCTTGGTGCTGGGGGGGGGGCAACAGTGGGAGGGTTTGTAGTGTCCTGGCCCCACTGATGGACCTCCTGATGGCACCTGGTATTTTTGGCGACTGTGTGATACAGAGTGTTGGACTGGATGGGCCATTGGCCTGATCCAGCATTGGCTTCTCTCTTATGTTCTTATGTTCATCAGTGGCTATTAGCCACAAGGTGTAGATAGGAATTCTTGCTCTGGGGAAAGTGATGCTCTGTATTCTTGGTGCTTTGGGGGGTTCAACAGTGGGAGGGTTTCTAGTGTCCTGGCCCCAGTGATGGACCTCCTTATGGCACCTGGTATTTTTGGCCACTGTGTGACAGAGTGTGACTGAAGCCCCCCACTGGCACCCAGGTAAGACCTGGCAACCCTAGCATGAACACCTCAGAACCTCACACTATTTCTAGAAGAAAAGAAAAGAGAAACGGATCAAGAGACTGGAACACCTTCCTTATGAGGAATATTAGTACTGAAGGCCAACGGCAAGTGAGGAGATCCCCTTCACACCCAGCTCAAGGGATTTCAGGAAATATCTGTCCGACCACTGAACCTCACACTACTTCTAGAAGAAAAGAAAAGAGAAACGGAACAAGAGACTGGAGCACCTTATGAGGAATATTAGTACTGAATGCCAACGGCAAGTGAGGAGATCCCCTTCATACCCAGCTCAAGGGATTTCAGGAAATATCTGTCCGACCACATTATGAAACAAGAAGACAGATTTAGATCAGGGATCCCTAAACTTGTTTAATCTATGGGCACTACTGGAACTATTAGAACAGGTTGTGTGAGTTGTGAAGTGCTGTCAAGTCACTTCCGACGACCCACAAAAGTTTTGTTAAAGGTGCCACTGGACTCAAACGTTGTTCTAGCCTTGTTCAGGTCTTGCAAAGCGAGGGCCGTGGCTTCCTTGACTGAAGTCACTCCATCTCACGCTAGGTCTTCCTCTTTTCCTGCTGCTTTCCGCTTTACCTAGCCTTATTGTCTTTCCCAGGGGTCATTTCCTGCAGGAGCGCACAGGAGTGGAGCTCTGGCAGTAAAGAGCCCAGGGGGCAGGCACATGCATCAAGCCCCACCCCCTGCTCCCAGCAGCCCTCAGTCAGAGCAAGAAGCAGCCAGCCCAATAGCTAGCAATCCACAGCAGTCCAGTGGCACCTTTAAGACCAGGTTTTATTCAGGTACAAACTCTCCCTCATCTGTGAGGGCAGATCTACACGCCCCCCCTCCCAAAAAAAAGCTAGCAAGCCAAAACAGTCCAGTGGAGCCTGAGTGCTGGGTGTCGCCTTCTGACACACGTCCGGTGATGTCAAGGGGCGTGGCATATGCAAATAAGTTATGCTAATGAGTTATGCTAATCAGCTCCTGTACCACTTTTTCTATGTAATGACCCCTGGTCTTTCCCAGTGACTCTTCTCTTTTCATAACGTGATCAAAGTATGATAGCCTCAGTTAGACATGGCAGTAGGAGTGACCCAAAATAGCTGACAGGGGCAGATCTCAAGGTGTTATAGGAGGTCTGGTACATGTCTTATTGGGTAAACAACTATGGCAGGACTTCTGACGTTGTGTATGGGAGTCTACTGAACTCTGGAACAAATAAAGGAAACAATGCACAAAACAGGGGTTACACCTGGGACCTTTTTGCCCCATAAAAAGCTCCGCTGCAGCAGGGAAAAACGCAACTCTGTTCAGCAAGCAAGCAAAGGCCCTCCGCTACCTTCAATCCTTTCACAGAGTTTATGCAGGGAGTGCATCGGACAGGCCTCACACAGTTTAATTTGAGTCTTGGCATTCTGGAGTGCAGCAGCGGTGCTAAAGGCCTGCTTGAGAGTGAGCATTACCTCATCAACCTGAAAAGGAGGATCAAAAGCAGAATGTTAAACCCGTACATTTTAACACCAATTATAATATAGTTGTGTGTTTTTTTAAAAGATAGATTCAGGTGGGTAGCGGTGTTGGTCTGAAGCAGCAGAACTAAGTTTGAGTCCGGCGGCACCTTTGAGACCAACAAAAGTTTAATTCAAGGTTTGAGCTCTCGTGTGCACGGCACACTTCTTCAGATACACTGACATGGAAGTTCAGGCCATACATATAGGTAGAGAGTGAGTAGCAAATTAGCATACAGGATAATAAAGGTGTTTAACAGATGCAAGGACCAAACTGGAATAACAAGCTTAGTTTATATGGTCACCATTTGTTTGGGTTTAATTCTTGGGGGGGAACATAGTAAAGGGGATAATAATAATTTTTTTAAAAATTATTTCCCTCACTATGTTTCCCCCCGGAATTAAACCCAAACAAATGGTGACCATATAAACTAAGCTTGTTATTCCAGTTTGGTCCTTGCATCTGTTAAACACCTTTATTATCCTGTATGCTAATTTGCTAATCACCTGGCAACTTCCACTTCAATTTATCTGAAGAAGTGTGTGTGCACATGAAGGCTTATACCTTGAATAAAACTTTGTTGGTCTTAAAGGTGGCACTGGACTTGAACTCTGTTCTGTTGTTGCTGTTGTTGTTTTTAAGTGTCCCCTACGTCCAGTGTCGTAAAACAGAGCACGACTTCATATTAGATTTCAAGGGCACAACATACTTTAGAATACTGAGCTCCCTTTTATTCTTGGGGGGGGGGGAGCGGCCTGGCAAGAGAATTTCCCAGAGTATCACGCCTGTCACTTATTATTTTTGACACAAAACGGATGCGCCAGGCTGCAATTCTGTTTCACACTGGCTCTACTAGAACAAGCCAGGGGTTTTGTGCATCAGTCCAACTATATGATAAAGAGCTTAAAACTTTCTGGAAGCCGTAATGAACCCATTGAGACCCTGTGCCTCCACAGATGGTACAGACGCTAGCCCCTGAATACTCCAAAAGTAGGAGAAATGGAAGAGAAGCCCAAGCCACTTTGTAACCGACTGAATAACTCATCTGCTTTTATTGTACCCAGACGCCAGTCTGAGCTTTGCCCTGACACCATCACAAACAGAGGAGTGCAAGATTCCCACACCCTCCCCACTTCGAGGCGGCCAGACTTGGCATTCTCTGTGGGGAAACCGGGTCAAAGGTTACACCGTTTTCCCCACAACTGGTATAGAAATTCAAATGCATTTTCATGCCTTTACATAAAACCTTTTCAAATATATGCTTTCCCTTCATATATTTTAAATGAGGAGACTGTGCCATTTAAGGCACACAAACCTCGGCAAGGGCGGGGGAGAGACCTGGAATAAAATTAGCTTTTCACAGTGGCTTCTAGGTTGCTTTGAACTTCTTTCTTTATATTTGGATACCCAAAAAAACATACGCCTAAAAATGGTAAGGAAAGGAATGAGACTTTCATATTTGAATAGAGAGAGTAGCATAAGTTTGCTGAAGGATTTAGGGGCCATATAACTTCTCTCTTTAAAATAACTATTAAAAATTCAGTTGCCGCATCTTAACTGTTTTATTAAAGCCTTTAGAGCTCACACGAGCTTACAGCTAGAATTATGTTTCAAGAGGTCTCAGTTAAAGAGTCTTGGCGTTATTTGTTTGTGCTTTTTATTCATTTGGGGTTGGTGTCTTACAATCCAAAATGCAACTGTTAAAAAAACACACACACTTTTAAATTTGAAACTGTTGAAGAACTAACACTACCGGATACCTAATAACAAGTGTACATGGACAGTATTATCTCAAAGGTCATCTGAGGCTCCCAGATCTCACTGTATGTGACATTTGCTATCCCTTTTCATACAGCAGAAAAGTCTTTCCCCATAAACTCTTGATACCTAGATTAAAATTCTAGGCTCACTCAAGGCAGCCCGTCTTCTTTTGTGGCTGTGAGAGAGCCCAGATTTTACCAGCTTCTCAGCAAACAATCTGTCCTGGCCATCAAGGTCACTGATGTATAATTTAAAATTAGAATGCGTTTGGGATTTCCCGCATTCCCACCGGCTGCAGCACAGACGGCAACAATGAATCCTGACACCCATCTTGAGTCTCAGCAAGAAAGGCAAAGTAAAGAAATAAAATCCTGGAGAGCTCTTATTCCTTACTCCGGGACGATGCAACTGTCCTTGTACTGGTGGGATGGAGGAAATAGATGGCACAACCTTTCAACTGGAGTGGTTTCCCCTCTCCAACGGGCAAAGACTGGTATATTTATTAAGCACGGTTCAGTCCCGTTAGTGGCACCCTAACGTCTACGATGGTAGTAGGATAAACAATAAATACTAGTCTCTTTTGCTTTTCCTTTCTCCGATTCTCACGGGCTTATGAACCAGCCTTCGTGCAGAAGTCAGGAGAAAATCATAAAATGGATTAGGCATCTTCCCACAAAAGAAAGGAAAAGTTGTCTCACAGTTTGTCTTTACAACTGTTGAGATGAAAACTACTAAACAAGCTGTAACCTGCAATGGGTTGTGCTGGGCTGAGAGAAGGGTGGATTAGAAGCATTTTGAAATTAAAAATGGATATGCAGGAAAAGGCAGTAATAAACTTACCAAAGACTCACTCGCACACTGGAATACATAGCAAACATACTGATTGATGCCGGGTTCAGTAGACTCTCGACAAATAAAACCAAAGTGATCAATGTTTTTTATGCCCTACAAGAAGAAAGTGTGGGGGGGAAATAACACAAATGTTGTTTGTGTTTATTTAAAATACATTTGCCATTTTACCAAGAGTAAGAATGCAGTCTTATGTAGAATCAGGGGTCATTTCCTGCAGGAGCGCACAGGAGCGGAGCTCCGGCAGTAAAGAGCCCGGGGGGCGGGCACATGCAACAAGCCCCACCCCCTGCTCCCAGCAGCCCTCAGTCAGAGTCTTCTTCTTCTTCTTCTATCTCTAGCAGCACTTCCAACGTTTCTGGGCCTCTCCATCCAAGACTGGGAAAACAGTAGAGCTTTCGGCATGGTGGACTTATTACTCAAGCAAGTACCCCACTTACCAAGTACAAGTATTATAATTAGGTTTATCCTGTTTGTTTTCACCTAATTGAAATGCTATTTTCAGTAATACTGCTGTCCTTCAGAGTCAAGAAACTCTTCAGATCAGCATGGACACTCCCTAAAATCAGCACGGACACTCATTAACAATTCTGAAGTGAAGAGACACAACAGCATCCTTTACATTTATGAGAATAACTTCAAATCGGCTCTGCTCGGGGCTGCCTTTTCGCATTGCCAGTCAATGAGAAATAGAGGAGACATTCCAAATAGATAACACGTGGCTCTGTTCGGGGCTGCCTTTTCGCATTGCCAGTCAAAAACAGACAGCAAGGACAGTCACAAAACTGGCACTTGCAAGAAGATAAAATTTAAAAGTAGCTTTGTGTTGTGAAGAAGAAGAAGAAGAGATTGGATTTATACCCCGCCCTTCACTATCCAAAGGTGTCTCAGAGCAGCTTACAAACTCCTTCCCCTTCCCCTCCCCACAACAGACACCCTGTGAGGTAGGTGGGGCTGAGAGAGCTCTTGACAGAAACTGCCCTTTTTTCAAGAACAGCTCTTATCAGAGCTACGGCTTGCCCAAGGCCATCCAACCAAGTGCAAGTGAAGGAGTAAGGAATCAAACCCGGTTCTCCCAGATTAGAGTCCACGCACTTAACCACTACACCAAACTGGTATACATGGACACTGCAACCACAAACCTAGTGTACCTGCCTGTCACATTCTCTTGCGCTGTGCTTAACTCCTAGCTGGGTGGTTCAGCATTCCAGAAAACAAGCAGCCGTTTGTACTGTTCTCCACAGTACAAGGAAATTCACACAGCTGCTTCTGGTATGCAACGTCATACCGATAAAGTACTGACATTCACCATTTAGCTAATCGTACAAAAGCTCTACCCAAACACACCTCTCTACATAAAATCAAACTGCGCTGGTACTGTTACAGTCATGAAAAAGCAATTTCAAGTGATGTCATTTTAGTCTAGGAGAATCAGAACAAAACACAGAAATAATGTAATATCTGAAGAAATAATGAAACCTGGTTATTGAAAAAAGCAAGGCAATTCTGTAGAAGAAGAAGAAGTTTTTATACCCTGCTTGTCTCTACCTTAAGGAGTCTCAAAGCGGCTTACAATTGCCTTCCCTTCCTCTCTCCACAACAGGCACTTTGTGAGGTAGGTGGGGCTGAGAGAGTTCTGAGAGAACTGTGACTGGCCCAAGGTCACCCAGCAGGCTCCATGGGGAGGAGTGGGGAATCAAACCTCATACAAAACCAGTAGCTGCCACAATTCAGTAGTAGACAGCCGTTTGCTTGACTTCTAAATGTATAGCCTATGAGTATGCTGAGACACATCTACACTACGGGGCTAAATTCTTCTTCAGGGGCATGTGGAAATGTTTCTTATGAATAATATGTAAACCCACAATCAGGCAGTGATCAGAGCCAGAATCAAGAAATGCCCTGTCATTTTCTGTCTCTTTCCTAGCTACTTCTAAATTTTTGATCAAGAAAGATTTGTTTCTTTATGACTGAACCAAGACTGAAACTGCTTGTCTCATAAGTAGGTTAGTCATCAGATCAAAAGTATTCAGTGGTAAGAATATAAAATGTGTCCTTCGGATATCTAAAATATTGAAACATGTAGAAGAATGTCGGTTAGATTATGGTTACGTCCTCCTAAGATGAGAGGAACTCAAGTGAGAAATGATCAGTGCACCCAATGCACACTTCAAACGTCTCAAATCCTCAGTTCTCTCAAGTTACATCTGTACTGTTCTGTATGATGTAGAATATGCTACATAAACAATTGAAAGCAGAACTACCAATGTCCAAGTAGAAAGAGATATCCTCTGTACTTTTTGTTTCATTTTTCCCCTCCCGATTTTTTTGTTCTCCAAATGTTAATGCTGTTTTTCCAGACTGTCTTTTGTCGAGCTCTAAATACCTACCTGAGAACATGACGAGATATCTTTAAAGTTCTTCTCAAAGACAACAGATTTAGAGTCTGGACTGATGAGGTTAATTTCAAATCGGCCAACCTTGAACAGAAAGACGGTGCGTGTCAATACAAGATACATGTTTTTGTTTTTAAGTCAGAACATTTTGGATGAAAATGGATAGGGTTTCCTAGCAGCTACACAAGGGAAGTATCACTTACGCCAACCGTGGGACAACCCACTAACAATGGTAAGTGACAGCACATTTGAGGATGCCTTTAAGAACTTAAAGGAGCTGCGGTGGCTCAAGTGGTTAAGACGCTGAACTGCAGGCTGTGGAAGATCAGTAGTTCAGCAGTTCGAGACCCGGGTGCCGCATGATGGAGTGAGCTCCCGTCTCTAGTTCCAGCTCCTGCCAACCTAGCAGTTCGAAAGCAAGAAATTGCAAGTAGATAAATAGGTACCACTTCGGTGGGAAGGTAACAGCGTTCCGTGCGCCTTGGTGTTTAGTCATGCTGGCCACATGACCACGGAAACGTCTTCGGACAGCGCTGGCTCTTCGGCTTGGAAACGGAGGTGAGCACCGCAACCCTAGAGTCAGATTTGACTGGCTTTCGAGCAAGGGAACCTTTACCTTTTTACCTTTAGGAACTGAAGCCAGCAATTCTCAAAGACTAAGGTACCTGAAGGAAGACATCTCCCTTAGATTCAGGCCGTTTTTGTGAGATTGGCTGGAACTGGAAAGGGGGTCAGACTCACACCACCGTGTGCCTAAGAGTACATGTGTCTGCTATAGAGTTAACTGGACTCATTAACTTTTGGAGCCACTGTTCTTCCCCTGTGTGTCGAAGTACAATTCCAGCCTTCCGACAACTGACCACTAACGGGTAGGACATGCTTCCTATCACTTTCAACTACTTACAAACTTGATTTTGAAGTATTCCCCCCCACCCCTAAGCATTTCAGCCATGTATACCAGCATGTTGGTACACAAGACGCCAATGCTACGTCTTTCCATTCCATCCTGTAGCAGAACCCACCTGAGCGAAAGGTCCCCAAAACAGCTGGGGGAAAAACAAGAGAGGTCAAAGAATCAGAGAAAAAAAGATAAATTTTAAGGGAGACCATTATTAGAAGAGCTGAGCGGAATTTAGAACATGCAGGGAAAGTACAGGGGGGGGGGGAGGTACATTCACTTTGATGCTGCACACTACTAATTCTCTTCATCAGACATATTATTGCATTTCAGGTGGAAAAACCTGGATTAATAACACTCTGTTCCATGAGATATTCCATTCCTTATGGAGGAAAGAGAATAAATTAATAGGATGGTCCTATTAAGCATCTTTCTCCTTGCCACCATCCTTAGGAACATTTACAAGAAATATCATTAGGAACATTTACAAGAAATGTCTCATAAACGAGCCATAATTAAAAGCGGTTGCAACAGAGACAAGTATTCCATTCAAAATCAACCACACACAAAGATATGCCCTTGAAAATAACCTGATGAGGGGGAAACCCCACATAGTTTTGGCATGTCTTCTGGCCTTGTGAGGTCTGCGGTTCTCCTAGGGAAGAAATTAAGAGTGCCAGCACCACAGAATGCCATTTCTTCACTCCATTCCTTCTCCGCGCTGTGGTCCTGCGAACCACTTCTGGGGCCCAGTCCATGGTCTGAGAACCCCTGCGCATTATTCAGTGGGAAGCTATGACCTCAGGTACTAATTCTCTCCAACAAGGTCAAAGTGGAAACCATTAGCAACTGAATTTTCTTTGCATATCATTTAAGATGGAAAAAAGGAGGTGGGGGCTAAAAAATTATTGTGTAAACTCATGCCTTCCTTGCTGGCTCAATTCAGACATTACACCATGCCACAATTAAAGAGGAGTGCTAGATTTTTTTAAAGGCCAAGATAGAGGAATCAGAGCCAATGAAATACAGCCCACTGAGAACAAGAAACTGATTCAAGAGAAGAGCAGATCAACTTAGTGTGCCTGCAATATTTTGAGATTGTTTATTCTTACAGAGTTGATACTTATAATCAATGTTCCCGGGGGTCCCCCCCCACACTTTGGATATTTGTCTACCATCGAGTCTTGGCTGAGGAAAAGTCCCAGGACTTGAAACAAGCAACATTCATATCCAAATATCTCGTTCTCTTTGGATTCCTTGGACAGAAATCTCTTTGGATTCTACACAGAAATTTGTTTGGACTGAACATATATGGTTTTCCATTTAGAAACTAAAATCTAACATTCAGAAACAAAAACCAAAATGATATGCAACCTTCTGATAAGTGAATGTGTTAAAAAGTAAGAATATTATATGAAAAATAAGGAAGCATAACTTTTTGTGCACCATATCACAGAGGAATTTCAGACAGGCGATATATTCAGAGTTTCTTGTTCTCAGTGGGCTAGATTTTGCATGCAAGTAGTTCTAAAATCTGTTTTTCCTGCTGCCCATTTACTCATTCCTCAAACTATGCCGTTCCCTCCTTTCAAAAAGCGTAAAGCACCTTAAAATCAGCATGAACCTAAAGTGGGCCCAGCACAGTATCAGTTAAGAACCACTGCCACAGTCACCAAACAGTCAATCCTGTTGTGGGGGTGTATAGAAATAATGATTTCTAAATGTCTCCTGCATTCTCCTGTTCTGTCTTTTGGTAACAGGCTGTGCCTTATTTCCTGTTACAAGCCAAATGGTAGGCACCATGGCCTCAATTGCATGCCATAAGCCTATACAGGGGGTAAAATGGAGGAGGGGAGTTTGAAGGTCGGGGTCCTAAAATGACATTTAAACAGAGCTAGCGTGAGGTCAAACTCAACTGGTTTGTTCTCTACCTCTGCTTGACAGACTCAACCCAAGTGGCTTCTGAATGAAGCAAGTTCACCCTATACCGGTTCACTTCAAAATGGATTATTACCGGCTTGAAACCGGGTGGAACTGGGTAATGTGAAATTCCCCACAGTTTCTTGTTCTCAGTGGGCTAGATTTTTTTTGAGACAGAATGCAAGTAGTTCTAAAATCTCTGTTTTTCCTGCTGTCCATTTGCTCATTCCTCAAACTGCGCATCTCTTGCTGTTCCCTCCTTTCAAAAAGCATAAAGCACCTTAAAATCAGCATGAACCTAAAGTGGGCCCAGCATAGTATCAGTTAAGAACCACCGCCACCAGTCACCAAACAGTTGATCCTGTTGTGGGGGTAAAATGGAGGAGGGGAGTTTAAAGGTCGGGGTCCTAAAATGACATTTAAACAGAGCTAGCGTGAGGTAAAACTCAACGGGTTTGTTCTCTACTTCTGCTTGACAGACTCAACCCAAGTGGCTTCTGAATGAAGCAAGTTCAGCACCCATGAGGGGAACAGGAAAAGAACCGTTAACTTTTATTTACTCCCATGGAATAGGGAAATAAGGTTGTTCAGAAAAGGGAAACTATTTAAAGGTGTAATACAGTCTTCCAGGACACATTCCTTTTTAAGGTTACAGTTAATAATTTAGGAGAATAGAGAGGAGTTAGCATCCTTGAGGTGAATACTGGCCTCCCTTCAACCTCAGGATTCTCACAGTGTACATGTGAGCTCCTTCTCAGAAACCACAAGCCTTCCGCTAGTTTTCCCCTTAGAAACTGTGGGTTCCATCCAGACAGAGACAGTCTTCTTTCTCAAGGTAGCCCGTTTATCGCAAAAGACAGGCTCTGAGACGTCCAAAATCTCCTGAGACAGGTTCTTTCCCAACTAGAACTCTGGAGATGCAAACCCTATCTCCACACATTTATTGGTTTAGCCCGCTTACACATAAGGCAAACTCCAGTCCCTCTTCTCCTAAAGTTTCAAAACACTATCGGACTGGAGGCGACAGTGCAACTGCTTTTTCTGTTTCACCTCTCCTCCAGCCCTTCCAGGGGCTTATTTATTTATTTATTTATTTATTTATCTGAGACATTTATTAAAAGGTAAAGGTTCCCTTCCTTGAAAGCCAGTAGAGTCCGACTCTAGGGTTGCGGTGCTCATCTCCATTTCCAAGCCGAAGAGCCAGCGCTGTCCGAAGACGTTTCCGTGGTCATGTGGCCGGCATGACTAAACACCGAGGCGCACGGAACGCTGTTCCCTTCCCACCGTAGTGGTACCTATTTATCTACTTGCAATGTCTTGCTTTCGAACTGCTAGGTTGGCAGGAGCTGGAACTAGAGACGGGAGCTCACTCCGTCATGTGGCACACACTCGGGTCTCGAACTGCTGAACTACAGACCTTCCACAGCCTACAGTTCAGCGTCTTAACCACTTGAGCCACTGCAGCTCCTTTAGACATTTATTAGCCACCTTTTGATCTTATACATGAACACATGAAACTGCCTTATATGGAACCAGACCATCAAAGTCAGTCTTCTCTACTCAGAGTGGCTGCAGCTCTCCAAAGTTCCCAAGTTGAGGTCTTTCACATCACCTATTGCCAGATCGTTTAACTGGAGATGCCAGGGATTGAACCTGGGACCTTCTGCATGCCAAGCAGAGGCTCTTCCATTGAGCCACACTCAAGGTGATTTACCATGCAAGGGATCCTGATTGGCTGCTCACTCACCAAGCAGGACTACAGGGGACTGGTGTTTTTCAGAAAGGGGCAGGATTTTCACCCATCCGTCACAGGAAGCCTGTTTAGTGCTGCCTCGAGCACAAACCCACCTCAAACATCATTTTCCTTCAAAGGCCCTCCCTAAACAGTATTCCTTTGAGAATCCTAGGTTGCGGTCACACATGCGAGATAACGCGCGGGGGGGAAGTGAGACTATTTGCTCCGTAGGAATTTGACCCGCATTTGCACAATCACACGGTCCCTGGGAGCTGCGGGGGCAGCCTGCCACTGTGTGATCAGATGCAACCACGGGTGAATCAGTGCAGGGTTTTTGCCATGTGTTTCTGGTGCACTTCAACGAGGGATCGATTATTTGCATCTCTGCACTGAATGCTCCCTTTGCAGTGTGCGATGATGCGCATACCGAAATGGGGGGGGGCAACAGCATGGCGTCGGGATGGCCTGGTCAGACCATCCCGACACCATGGGAGCGCGCTGGAGCAATCACACAGGGGAAAGTCCATCCCTGGCCTGTAGCAAACCGTTTGCTACTGGACTTTCCCTAGCGTCTTTTTACTCCACTTCTGCGGCGGAGCTAAACGGGCCACCAACGACTCCGAGGCGCTGGGCAGATGCTTGCGTCTGATCGCGCCCTTTCAATCCGCCCGGCGTTCGTGCCTATAGCGCGGCTAATTGTGCGTGCGATTGCACTCCTAGTTAATATTCTAAGGTATGGTTAACATAAGCCAGGTTTTGATTTGATGCATGAATTGAGCCAGGGTGCGGTAAGGCGTGGGCAGAACAAGCCATGATGTGGGAATCATGGCATCTTTGGAGAAATGCCAATCTGGATGTCCAAGCAAAACGAGCTTGATGAGCAATAATGAGAACGCCTTTGCTGTTTAATATCCAGAAGCAAACCAGGAATTAATTTGATTTTGAGAGTAGACAAATGAAAGCAGAGCTGTCCTGGGAATGGCTTAAGAATACATCACAAAACCTCTGCCACTGTACACCATCCAATATATATGCAAATTCTCACTGCCTTAATCCAAAAAGCTAAAAGTGCTTGATTATTTCAAAGCAACGTTTTATGCATTTAGAAGATTTCCTTAGATGATCTTCTTGGAAGGCTAATCAATAAATGAAGCATAATTCCAGGTACAATCTTGGCAGGGAAAACTCCTTAAAATACATGGAAATCGTTAACCATTTTCGCAGGTTTTTAACTCCTTATTTAGTTCATTATAAGCATAGAAGAACTCTACTCTGATTTATTTTTATTTTTAGATTGGATTTGTTTCACTGATAGAACGTTAGCAAATGGCAACTGCCACATCTAGGTTTCAAATACAAAATATCAATCCAAGGCAAGCAGCGAAACCAGTGCTGATATTTACAATCAAGTGTAAAAGATGCTTGATTTTTATGTCATTTTTTTTAAAAAAGCGTTAAAGCTAGCAAAGTCATCTGACTCAGTGCTGGATTCCAACAACAACTGCTTGGATCCAGCAGGATGCTTCGGTGAGAGGACAGATTTCTGCCAGCAAAATGGAACCTTTTTGGCTCCGCCTCCCACCGCAGCCCAAAATGTCCCCTGAAATGCCGCTCCTAGGGGACAGGGGACATTCTACCCAAGGAAATTCTGCTGGATCCCAGCTCCTTATCTCCCTTATGCATGCTTCCATAAACCACACTGATTAGCAACGACAACAAGCAATGCAGATGGCAGATCAATAGTTCACACTGTTAGGTGTTTAAAGCTCTGGTAGACAGACTTCTGGAGCTGTGGTGGCTCAAGTGGTTAAGACGCTGAACTGCAGGCTGTGGAAGGTCAGTAGTTCAGCAGTTCGAGACCCGAGTTGCCGCATGACGGAGTGAGCTCCCGTCTCTAGTTCCAGCTCCTGCCAACCTAGCAGTTCGAAAGCAAGACATTGCAAGTAGATAAATAGGTACCACTTCGGTGGGAAGGTAACAGCGTTCCGTGCGCCTTGGTGTTTAGTCACGCCGGCCACATGACCACGGAAACATCTTCGGACAGCGCTGGCTCTTCGGCTTGGAAACGGAGATGAGCACCGCAACTCTAGAGTCGGACTCGGCTGGCTTTCGAGCAAGGGAAACCTTTACCTTTAGACAGACTTCTACAAAGGGAAGGCAACAGATCTCGGAAGCCAAGCAGGATCAGCGCTTGGACAGGGGCACCACCAAGGCAGGCCCTGCAGAGGAAGGCAATGGCAAACCCCCTCTGCTTTGACAGCATACTGTTCTGTATGGGGACAAGATGACAGCCTGGTAATGTTAAATGGTATAGATCATCGTGATCTGGAAGGACAGTTGAGAGAGTCACATGATGTGTCACCAGGTACAGGATTGCATCTAAGTTGCATCAGCCAGGATGATGTCACCATGAATCAGCACTGGACACTGATTGGTGCTGTGTATGTATATATTGTGTACAGTACTTGAGCAATCACTTCACTCTGGTGGACGACTTGTATGCGAAGCACTCTGTCGGACTGCATGACGATTTGGAGTCTAGAAGTGCTTAAAGACTGTGTGTAAATATCTGTGTAAATAAATCCACTGTGTATAGTCAGCACTAGCCAACCTGGTACGTGTGGTTACTTGACTCTTCAACGCTAACACTTGCCTTGAAAGCCTGCTGCTGGGGCCACCGTAAGACTATTACAACTTGATGTACATCAGCTCAGATGCTGTCTGCTGGTGATCAAACAAAGAGGGATTTGCCCACCCACTACGAGGGGCTCACTAGCTCATGGATTCCCTCTTCAGTCCTCAACTAGGACTAGGGCCTGGTGAAACTCTCTGCCAAATAACACCAGGGCCTGCGGGATCCTGTGCAATTCTGCAGGGCCTGCAAGGCAGAGATGTTCCGCCAGACGTTCGGCTGAGGACAGCGTTGGTTGACAACATGGCTGGTAACACACACACACACACACCGGAAGTGCGAAGCACTCACAGAGCAGATGGGAATTTTTTTTGCCACTTGTTTTTAATTACTGTATAATGCTGATATTGGTTTTTATATATTTTTATGATTTTGAATGTTGTACATCGCCTAGAGCCCCACCGTCATAGGGATTAGGAAATTAATGAATGTAATATAATAAATACTATACATGCTCTGTTTAAGATAAAGAACAGGATTGAGTATGTAAATGCACGTGCTTTCTGCCCCCAGGTCTATGAACCATACCTGAAATAACATCGTCCTGTTCTTCTCAGAATCAGAGGGCTGGACGTGGCTGGGGGCACTTGCGTGTCGTCTCCGCGGCTGTGTTTTTAAGGCACTGTCATGTACCTTCCTTTGCATAACACCCGTGACGCTGCTGCATCGGGAGCGGAACTCCTGCTGATCGTCAAACCCAGAATCCTCCAAAATCCGCTCGGGGAAAGAGAGACGGGAGCTAGCCAGGCTCGCCAGATTAGTCTGGCTCCCAAGCGTAAACATCCCAGCATGACTACCGGCAGTCGTGTCCATGCCATCCATCTCCTCAAAGGGACTGTCCAAAGGAGAAGACGGTGCGTCGCCTTCGTTCTCAGCAAGGTCGGCGCTGGACTCTGCATTGCGCTGCTCGCTCAGCAGCTTCAGGCGCTGGCGCTCGTGCTGGTTGAACTTCTCGATGCAGTCGTCGATCAGCGTGGAGGGGGCCTTTTTGTGAGCCACGGTCACCTTCCCACAGTAGAGGACCTCAAATTTCTGGGAGTTGTAGAAGGCATCTTCACTGTCTTTACTGGGTTTGACGTCCTCCTTGAGGGCTGCTTTGGAAGCCTGCCTGATGCTGCTGATCACATCTGGAACCTTCACCGAAAGAAAAGAGACAGAGAATCGTCTTTATGAAGGCCAAAAGTAATATCAAAGATACAAGAATCACACATGCAAACTTTATGTCAGTTTTCCCACCCATAGGGAACTGGTGGGGAACGTCCCACAGCACTTTCAGTAGATGATAGTGTGACCAGCAATAAATAATAGATAATAATGATTTCAAGGAGGAGGAAGAGATTGAATTTATACCCTGACCTTCATTTGGAGTCTCAGAGCAGCTTACAATCTCCCTTCCTTCCCTCTCCCCACAACAGATACCCTGTGAGGTAGGTGGGTCTGAGAGAGCGCTGAGAGAACAGCTCTGAGAGAGCTGTGGTTTACCCAAGGTCATCCAGCAGCTGCATGTGGAGGAGTGGGGAATCAAACCCAGTTCTCCCAGATTCTCCATGCTCCTAACCACTACACCAAACTGGCTGCCTTTCAAGAGCTTACCCCTCATATTCCATTTTACCAAAACAGACAAATGCGATTTAAACCATTAAATTATTTCTTTTCAAAGACAACAAATTGTAAAGTATCTCTGTTCAACCACTCCCAATCTGAGTCCCTCTCTCTTCTCCATGCACAAAGTGGACAGAACAGTAAAACCCAGCTGCTCAGGAACCACCTGGGACTCTTCTGAGCACTGTCCCCCAATTAAGCACCTGCCCCATGATTCGGGAAGGTAGGCAAGGCTTCAAGGTGGAGCTTCACAACGGCTCCCACCTTGAAACAGCTGCTGCCGGAGGAACAGGTAAGCCGCGAGGCTCTCTGAGGGGCAGGCCTCATGCCAGGGATAGAAGTAAATGTGGGCTTTGGGAGGTGGTAATTGTAAATGTGGCTGCGAGCCAATGAGTGAGGGCCACTGGGTTAGAAGATGCGGCCACTGCATTTTCTTGAGTTTAACGAAGTTGATCAAACTTAGTATAACCAAACTTAGTATAACTTAGTATTTGCAAGGTGACTTGCAAATACCTGATAACTTCTTTTTTTAATGTACTGTATGGCATGCCTTGTTCTTTTGTGACTTCAAAAGGTGGCACGACAAAATTATCTTTGTTGTTACATGGTATGTTCAAACAGTATCCCTGTTTGTTCCATTCACATTGTGAGGCTGGAATTATACAGTGAAATAAAGAGCAACTGCTGTGAAAACCTTAGATACGGGAAGGCAGGGGGGAGGGAGGGAGAACTACCTGTTATTGCACTGAACTACAAAAAAACACTGCAAAAGCACTGTATAGCACGCACATAGGACATCAGCTAGAATGCTGCTGTTCAAAGAAAGCTTAAATGTAGGTGGTAAAACACTTAGGATCAGAGCCACACAGAGATACAAAACAGTGAGAGTCTGCGGGTCCGCACATCACCACTGATACAAGGGCCCGCCTGAACTGGCTCTCTCACAGCACTTCGCCTCTACTGTCTGCTACCATGATGTAAAACAGAGCCCAACCTTTGCAAATTCCAAAAAGGAATCTGTTGGGATTCTTTTTTTGAGTAAATCAGCAGAGTATTAAGAGACTGAGTCCATGGTGTGTATTTAAAATATAAAAGCTTACTATAAAGCTAACATGGGAAAAGGTACACAGGATATAAAATAACAAAGAGCTAATATGCCTACATCCTTGCTGCTAAGAGCCTGAATGGCGTCTTCTTCTCTAGTCAGAACAAAGAACACACAATCGGGAAGAGAAGCCATAAAATGCTAATACCACCTTGGTTTCCAACCAGAGTAGCAAACTAGCTCCAAAGTTCCCGGGCATCCTATTGTCTAAACAGATTGGTTACAAACAAACATGTGACTTAACAAACATCATTAACCCTGTAAGTACTGAAGTGTTTTCGCCTGAGCCTCCTGAAGTCAGTGAGCTTTGAAAGGGGTCACTCTGCTTAGGACAGCAATGCGCTTTGCCCAGCAGTGCGACCCTGTTTAGCACAAACAGAAGAACGCTTACAGAGAGTAACTTTCTGACCTCTCCACCAAAGCCTTCCCCCTCCCCCAATTGTGCCTTTGAGGATCAGTTGATTCCTGGGAACATCGAGGGACACAGATGGTATCTGCTATGGTAAAGGAGCATTGGTAGAAGTTTGTCCGCCATTCTCCCCCCCTCCCTATCGTGCCTTTGAGGATCAGTTGATTCCTGGAACATTGTGGGGCACAGATGGTATCTGCTATGGGAAAGGAGCATTGGTAGAAGTTTGTCCGCCAGCCCTGTTCTGCCGGCGGAAAGGACTGTGGTTCTTCAGAGGTAGCGCCTCCAAGTTGCATGCAGCAGGTCCCAGGTTCAATCCCTGGCATCTCCACTTAAAGGACCCGGCAGTAGGTGATGTGAAAGACCTCTGCCCGGAGGGCCACTGCTAGTCTGAGTAGACAATCCCAACTTTGACAGACCAGTGGTCTGAGTCGGTATAAGGCAGTTTCACATGTTCAAGCGCCTTAAAGCAGGAAGTACAGCAAGGATCCAAGGTATAGTGTGGTGAGTGGTTCTCTATATTAGAAAAGTAGGGTATTTGTAGGGTAATTGCCTAGAAATTCTGGTTGGGGCTGAAAGCTGCTGTTTGAGACGTTCAAAGCTCCTCCTAGATGCTTTTGCGGAATTCCGGGGTGCAGTCCTGTAGCTGCACACCCTTTGGAATTGTGACATCATAAGAACATAAGAGAAGTCAACGCTGGATCAGGCCAATGGCCCATCCAGTCCAACACTCGGTCACACAGTGGCCAAAAATACCAGGTGCCATCAGGAGGTCCATCAGTGGGGCCAGGATACCAGAAGCCCTCCCACTGTTGCCCCCTCCCCCCCCCAAGCACCAAGAAGACAGAGCATCACTTGCCCCAGAGTTCCTATCTATACCTTATGGCTAATAGCCACTGATGGATCTCTGCTCCATATCATCTGGAACGGTGACACTGATTTCACAGTCCCTTCCTGTTGACATGTTCAGGAATGAGTGACTGACATCTTCAAGAGCCAAACAAGAACCGAAGAAATCATAATTTGAGGGCGAGCACCATACATTTAAAGGTTTCAAAGAAAACTCTTGACTATTTTTCACTTTAAGGAGTATATGGAGAGGAACTATGGGGGGGAGAACCCTACGCAGGGGGGGCTCACTATACACATACCTTAAGTCTTCTGCTCTGTCAACTGATAACACTGCTTTACATTCGAGTAGGGCAGAACCATTTGTAAACTACCGGTATGTGCCACTGCCCCCTGTAGCCATATCTAGAGACTGCTGAACAGAGCAGACAGGCCACATTGTAGGTTTCACCCTCCAACTCTTCATAACTGGCTGACTACCATTCAGCATGGCAGCCTGTATGATCACTTTGCATGCACAGGAAGATTTTGATACAGGGCCCATTCAAACGCCCAACCCAGCTGTTCACATGGTACACCATTACCTGATAACTATACCACCTACATCCGTAACGTTTATCAGCTCTTAGCCATTGATTACATAAACTCCCTAGACCAGGGTATGTGCTTTGCTAATTAAGGGGGCTTAAGTTTTTTAAATCATTCCATTTGTCATGACATTTTTAAGATCAGAAGGGCTTCAGCTCTACAAACCTCAAAAAATGCATTTTCCGTCATAATGCAGGTGTCACCAAGAACACCTGCCTCAAGATAGAATCTGTGCACTGCTGCCAAGCAGTCTCATTGTGACACACCAATATTGCGTACATTACAACACAATTCTCCGTTTCAAATTGAAAAACACCACTTCAACCTCATTTTGAAGGGGTTTAGAAACGTCAGCTGTAAAGTAGACTTCAGCAGGCTATCACGTTGAACACAGAAAGATCAAAACAAAACAGTCGCTTGTTCATAACATTTAAAAAAACCTCTCCATTTGAGATTTAAACACACATCACCCCCTACGTTCCCCCAACATGTATTAAAGAGAGAAGTGCAAAAACCAATGCTATACAAGTACCCAAGCTGAGGACTGCAGAATGTTGTAAGTAACAAGTACATCTAGTAAAAAATTTTCACAGATAAGAGATAACGTTCTTCTGCAAACAAATGAAACATGAATGCAAGCTAACTTTAAATATCTATATTAACTAATGCATCCTGGATGAATCAAGATTCACTTTATAGTTGTAGTTTAAGGTGAAGCCAAATAGAACTAATCTCTTCCCCTTTAACATGTATGGTACCTTCTGGCCAGAATTCCAAGAGAACAGGAGAGGCATTCTCAAGTTTTGCAGAATTCCAGAGACAGTAGAATGACTTCCACATAAAAGAGCAGACCCTTTCCTCTATAAGTATGAGGGAGTTTCTCTTCCCACAAAATTGGCAGTGATTTCTCTGCATTTCCTCAGATTCGCTGTTCACAGTTCTCCCAATTCAAATAGTCAGACAGATTCTTAACAGTAACCGTTACTGATTCAAAAGCAAAGTGTTTCCTGATATTTTAGACACAGGAAATACATATTCTGTCAACTATTTGACCAAAAGACTTTTTTGGACTGCGTTTTTAAAACTAAACAAGTAGAGCCCCTTTATATGGTAAGTATTTTGCAGGCATTAAAAAAAAAAAGCAGATAATTAACTATGGATAAAAAACAGCACAATGCGGGAAAGCCATTTAACGTTCTCCTGTTGTTCTGATCACAACTGTACACCTTCAGTGTAAGGACAAGTACATATTGGGAAATGGATCCACCTGGTACAAAAAGCAATTGCTCCTTATTACAAAGGCATTAACAAGACACAAACCCCAGGTCCTCACCACTAGCCGACGCCTGCTATAGTTGCAACATAAAAGTAAACAATCTGCCAGGTACTCCTTAAATCAGGGGTTGGCCAAACTGTGGCTCGGAAGCCGCATGCGGCTCTTTCACACATATGGCGCGGCTCCCGGCAGGGCGGCTGGGGAAGCTAAATATCATGAGCAAACAAATATCATTGGACAAATAAATATCATTATCAATATCTGCTTTTACCACTTCTGTTACTATTTTTGGCAGTCTCACTTAA